ATTTAATTCTCAGCAGATTATGAAAAGCAATCGAGATAACCGCCCATTAAGGCTGTTCTGGCATTCCTCTGTGACTCTGAATTTGCCCCCTCGTTGATGTACCCCAAAGCCTAAGTAAAAAAAGTGACCTACCACAGAGGTTTGAGATGAGGCACCTAGAAATTCAGTGGTCCCCCAGTGGGAGCTGAGGGGGATCGTTCCAGTCTAAATATGAGGTCAAAGCATTACCCACCTTGCTCTCCACCCTATCTCAACCACATTCTCCTAGCACCCCTCCCACACCCTGCCGCATGATGCCACCAGTGACTTGATTTGAAGGAAACCTGGAATAGCTAAGTGGGCTGCACAAGACTTTTAATGGGGTAGATCAAGGACAAGTCCACCATCCCTGAGCATCTTTGAGGACCTGATAAATGCGTGCAGGGCTTTGTGCAAAAGGAGAAGGAGGATGGAACCCACTAAAAGATTTATGGCCATTATTATTATAAGGCTCTGCTGAGACAGAGAGAGGTCAGCAAGATGGGAGGCCACATGGCATCACTGAGGGAATTCAGAGCATCCTCCCGGCAGCTCCTCACCTCTGCTAACTGCGTGGATGTGGTTACTAAGTAGATTTAGACATTGGAGCTTGTTTCCCCTCTTTTGTCTTTAATAAATCAGGAAGATCAGCCGCAGCCTGAGCTGCTCACCTTTAAAAAAAAAATGCACCAAAATCAAAAAACCTACAATAGCGTGAGGAGGAAGAGGGCATGCAGGGTAGCTGTTGACTCTGCAAGATTGTCCTTTTCTCAAAACTAGGCCCTCCCATCTTCGACAGGCCCAGGGTAAGATCCATGTAGAAGACATGGCAGCAGTGGCAAAGGTACACTGACATTAAGCCCTTCAGAAGGGAAACCAGAAAATCCAGAGGAGGAAGTGTTGGCCAATGGCCGTGTGGAGGAAAGTAAAAAAGCACCAAACCGACTTCTCCAAAATGGATGAAAGAGCCGTGGGGGTGGAGATTGTTCATGAAGCATCAAAGGAGGATTCTAAATCCAGGGAAGAGGCTGGTCTGGAGCCAGGCGTTCAGGAGAAAATGGAAAAGCCTGAGACCTGGGAGGGACAATTGACTGGTGAGGTGTCTTCTTTGAAGGATCAATTGCCAAGTCGTGGGAGATGGAGCAGGAAAGCACTAATCAGCAAATGCTCAAAGTGGGTGTCTGTCAGTATGCTACATCTATGGGCCCCAGAACTGGCAAGACAGAGCCAGCTGCCAAACGCCACCATTGAGCCAGGGTGGGGCTGGGTAACTTGGGTAGCGAAAGGGCACTGCTGCAAACAGCATAGGTTCTAGATCAGAGGGGAAGGGGGGGCCCTGTTGGTGCAATGAAGTGTTCCGCTGCTCACCAAAACCACTGGCAGTTCAAACTCACCCAGGAGCTCCAGAGCCGAAAGACTGAATGTTCCGGTAGAGATTACAACCTATGGGGCAGTTCTACGGTGTCATACGGATTCCCGATCAGTTAGAATCAACTTGACAGCAGTTGGCAACAGGTGAAAGGGATGATAGAAAGATTCAGAGGGAAAGAGACTATTTGATACCAGGTGTGGATAGCAGTGACAGCACCCCTGAACACAAAGAAGGCTGACGATCCCCTCACTGAGGACCACCACTGGGGGTGGCTGCAGTTCTGTACATATTTCTAAATCGCCCTGAGGTCCAATGTGATGAAATGGACCGTAAGTCTGTGAAATGCTGTAACATTAGCTTTGCTCAAGCATCAGTTCCAGGCCCTCTTAGAATACACAGGGTTAGTATTGACGCCGAAAGGCTCATTTTTTATATATTGAACTGCACAGCTGCAAGGAGTTGCACAAATGTTACCAACTCATTTGTCATGCAAACAGTGCTTCAGAAAGAAATAAAATACTGTTATGTGGTATATGTGCTAGGCAATCACTATATCAAACTCATGGCATTCCGTACAAACACAGGCCGAGAAAAGGAAAACAACACTTGGTAAGAGAAATCACACCCCATGGGAGCAGCTGAGCCAGGGGAGGTGAGGAGGCCAACAAACTAGCTGGACCAAGCCGAGTCTGTAATTTCCTCAACAGTTGTGGATGGTGTTGAATACACTCACGGTACAGCAATAAGAAACACTGGCAAAGGGTCCCTGGTGAGCACACAGGGCAAGGAAGAGAGGGGATAGGTGAGGGGCATTGTAGGAGTAGGGCTACAAGAGATCCCAGGAAAAGAGGAAAAACAGAATGTGAAGGTCAGAAACAGACTAGGACCTATAGTAAGAGGGTCTGCAACAGTAAATGTTTTAAGAAATGGAGTCACATAAGGAATGCAAACAGGGAGAAGGAGATAGAATGAAGACCATGCAGTATACACTCACGCCTCACTTATTGACAGGGTTGGATTCCAAAGACATTATGCAAGAATGGAGGAGGATGAAATCAGACCACAAAAAATGGAGGATAATTGTATCATTATACCTACCAGATTACCTCTTTATAGAACCTGTTAGGTTATACAACTGTCAAACCACTGAGAATCATGGCCCAGCCAAGAAGACACATAACCATCACAGACAGTGTTACTATAGCTCACACATCATTGTTCATGAATACAAAACTAGTTGGAGAGTTTTGCTTTTTACTATTTTCATAAATGAGAAATGTCATAGGATAGTCACTAAGTGAGGACTTGGTCAACCGTAGTCCTATGTACATTTGTTGTCATTCTTCAAGCTTCCCCTGGCTAAACGCCTTCAAATAAAGAACTAGGAGGTTCCACACAGACCTACAGCTATAAAGACATAGTTAAATGGTTATGGTTATTATACGTGCCATCAAGTTGCTTGCAACTCGTAACAACCCTATGGACAATAGCTCTAAACCCTGCTCTATCCTGAGTTAATCTTATTGTCTCTGACACACCTATCCCATTACCCCAGTCACTGAGTCAATCCATCTCTTTGAAGGTCTTCCTCTCTTGTGCTGTCCCTCTCTAAGGACATGCCCAAAGTATGTCAGATGAAACGTCAGAATCCTTGCCTCCAAGGAGCAGCCTGGTTTCACTCTCTCTAGGGCCAATCTGTTTATTCTCTTTGCCAACCATGATATATTCAATACTCTTCTCCAGAACTACAGCTCAAAGGCATCAATAGGTTAGATTAAGTATAAATATTATGGTCACATACTAGACACTAGTCTAAACTCCTTATACAAATTACCTTTTCTAATCCTCCCAACAAGTCTTGGAGGCTTATTGGAAACAAAGTAGAACAGAAACATCATTCATTGGATGTGACTGCACATCTGATAGAGGTGAAGATAGGATATGAAATCAACTGTCTAGCTAAACAGTCCATATCCTAAACCACAAGTGACAGCAATAATAGGGCTGTGTGTCTCTGGGGTCTTTCCCTACCCATTCCTCCAAAAGCCTTCATAGCCCAATTGAGCCCACAGGCACTTGGCTCTGCTCCCTGTACCTTGGATGTATGGATATGAGTTCCCCTCCAGGATGGGGCTCCTTGAAGGACAAAGCAATTCTCAGGGCCCACATACTCACATTCAATGTCAGGAGACAAAGGCAAGGCCTCAGAGCACGTCTGGAGTCTATTTCACAAACCAAACAAGGCCCTTTCCTAGGCACAAAAGGGATCACATCAGTCTGCAGAGAGGGGAGCAGGTGGCTTGTCTTTCACTGTTAAGTCATTCATTCATTCATTAAATCAACATGATTTTTATTGAGTGCTTACCACATGCCAGCAAGGTCTTCAATATTCAAAGAAAAGAATAAAAACTGTTAACAGAGAGGTATAGGGGAGATAAATATACAGAAAACTCAACACTCATTGATATCAAGTCCAAACGGACTCGTTATCTGACCTTTCAGGGAGCTTTCAGAGGTTTTAAATTGCAGGGGAAAGGGCGGATTCCACCATCACCTGTATATACATATACACATAAATACTTTCTAAATCCCCACTCTTCATTGTTATTGGGTTGGAACCAATGAACAGCTGACTCTCCGGTGGTTTTTCAGAGGCTGTAAATCGCATGGGAGGAGATTGCTCATCTTTCTCCTGCAGAGCAGGGGTGGATTCGAACCACCTGGATTAGAATTGTTGTCATGTGCTGTTGAATCGCCTGTGACTCATAGTAACCCTATCTATACACAATAGCCCCGAACTCCGCCCTATCCTGAGCCAATCTCATTCTCTCTGACACATCTACCCCTCATTACCCCAGTCACTGTGTGAATGCATCTCATCCGAGGTCTTCCTCCCCCTGCACTGTCCCTCCACCCTTCTGCGCATGAAATCTTTCTCCAAAGACCGGTCCCTGCTGGCCACGCGCCCAAAGTATGTGAGGCGGAGCTTTCAAATCCCAGCCTCCGAGGAGAAACTTGGTCTCGCTCTCTTGAGGACAGACGTGTTTTTTCTTTTGGCCGTCCATGGCATGTTCAACACTCTTCTCCAGCACCGCAACACAAAGGCATCGGTTCTTCTTCTGCGAGTCTTACTCCAATATCCAGCTCTCTGATGCATAGCAAGTAACTGTGAAGACCATGGCCCGGATATACCCACATATATTGCTTGTTACCTATCTACAAATCGCACGGGAGGAGATTGCCTGCCCGATGGTGGAGCAGCTGGTGGATTAGACCCGCTGTCCTTTGGGTTGACAGTTGGAACCAACCCAAAGTATAACCTCTGGCAGGTTCTCAGAGGCAGCTAATCCTACGGGAGGAGACTGCACACACACACACCCCCTCTCACTGACGCTCTTGTATATGTATACATATGTATTTCTTCGACCTCCCCAACATGGCGCGCCTTGACACCCGACTCGGACCTCCTCATCATGGCCGCCCCGCAGCGACCTTCTCAATATGGCGGCCGAGCCGCCCTTCCCATCATGGCGCGCGGCCCCGCCCGCTCCGCCGCGGCCGCCGGCGGGAGCAGTTCCGGGTGCGGTGAGCGCCAGGGGCGGGCGGGGGGCGGCGTCCTGGCCATGGCTGGCCTGTCGGACCTTGAGCTGCGGCGGGAGCTGCAGGCCTTGGGCTTTCAGCCAGGCCCCATCACCGACACCACCCGGGACGTGTACCGCAACAAGCTGCGCCGCCTGCGGGGCGAGGCCCGGCAGCGCGTCCAGGAGCGGCCAGGAGAGGAGGCCCGGCCGCGGAGCGACGAGCGGCCGCGCGAGGAGGCCTGGCTGCGGGAAGAGGTGCCGCTACGCGCCCGGCCCGCCGCGGCCTCTCCGCGGGTGGAGCCCTGGCTCTCCCCACCAGCCTCGAGCGCGGCCTACGCGGCCCCTGGGGCCTACGGTGACACCGGGGCCTCCACGGCCTCCTGGTCCGGAAGCCGCGGCCTCGCCTACCCCTCCCGCCCCTCGCAGCTCCGGCGCCGCGCCTCGGTGCGGGGCAGCTCAGAGGACGACGACGATGCTCGGGTGCCCAACAAGGCGGGCTCGGGCCTCGGGGTCCGCCGCTGGTGGGCCGCTTCCCCGGCCCCGGCGCGACAGTCTTCCACTCTCCACGGCCCCGACCCGCGCCCGGGCCTGCGGGCCACTCGGACGGTTCCTGCGGGCGCGGCGCGGGCCCGGCCGGAGGTGGGGCGACGTCTGGAGCGCTGCCTGTCCCGGCTCCTGCTCTGGGCCAGCTTGGGGCTGGTGCTCGTCTTCCTGGGCATCCTCTGGGTGAAGATGGGCAAGCCCTCGGCGCCGCAGGAGGCGGAGGACAACAGTACGTCCCGGGCCGGCACGGGGAGGGCTCCTGGGACGCGTGTGTCTGCCGAATGGCCGCCCCTCCTTCCAGCGCCAGGCTGTCAGCTCCTTTATCCATCTCAGCACTAACTCACATCTTGACCTTCACTTTCCTACCTCCGGGTGTGAGAGGAGAGGGCTGAGGTTCCTGCACCTGAAATAGTTTATGTCTTCACTACACCCCCTTCCCCGCCCCCTCTCAATTTCTACCCTAATTGCCGCTTCCACCACGTGCTAGTATCACTCTTGGAGTCCCTGTCTGGTGACTTTCCCTAAGCCACACCCCCTCTAACAGAAAGGCCCACGTCTCTCCCTTTTTAGATCTTTATTTCCTGCACACTCACCTTAGTACCCTTCAAGAGTTGATGTTCACAGGTGGGATCTGGTTGACTTCAGTCTTTGCAGCACCAAACAGGCCACTCACTCAACTTTTCTGGGCCACTGGGGCCTCATCTGTCAAAAAGCTATTATACTCACCCTGCTTAGGGGTCAGGTGTGAAATAACCTTTAAAGACTTTAAACTGATAGAAATAGGACTAGTAGTCTACTTTTTGTGCATTTAAAAAACAAGGGCTTCCCCAAGTTGTGCTCTGTCCACAGGATTAGACATGCCGATGAGAAATCAGTAAGATACAACACCTCTCTTGTTTGGATAAGGACCTGTTCATTTCCTTTCTAAAAGAGAAGTTTGTGTTTCAGTTTTCTGACCTCCAGCAGAAAACAAAGATGTTTTCTTATAACTTACAAGGAAGCTATGTTTCCTGATAAAGTTTGAGGATAAAGTTATACAGGATCTCACCAACTTTTAATATTCTTTTTAAGGTAGGTTAATCATGACTGTTTCCAGTCTTGAGCCAAGGACTATCTTTCCAGCCTAACAGAAACAGCTTAAATACAGGGAAGAGTTAAAATCCATTTTCGTTGGAAAAACTAAATCATAAGTTTTGGTAAGGGACCAGGATCATATATTTATGTCGACTTCCAAATAATTCTCCACTCGGAGAGCAGTTTATCAGCCACATGACTTGTTTATCAACGTAGATAAATAAAGCAGACCCAGGAATGCCATACTACTCTACTGGTATTATAAATACACTGATGGCAGCAAACAATATTGCAGTTGTACTTACTGTTATGATGCCCATAGTCATAGATATTTACAGAGATTCTCCTGGAGTTCTTTCCTATGATTTTGTTAACCTGTTTGACTTATCATTTTGTACATTTTACAAAACTATCATGTATATTGTCTTATTTGAGGTAAACAAGAAAGGCTTTTTGTGGGCCCCATTTTACATACGAAAAAACGGACACACTCAGAATAGTTGCATCAGTTGCCTGAGATTCCATGATTAGTAATGTTCAATGGGGATTTGGATCTAGATATTTAAATTCCTAATCCAGACAAGGAGAGACAGGTCTTTGGAGAGGGACATCATGCTGGGTAGAGTAGAGGGACAGCGCAGGAGGGGAGGACCCTCTATGAGGTGGATTGATTCGGTGTCTGGGGTAATCGGGATGGGTGTGTCAGAGGCAATGTGATTGACACAGGATGGAGCAGAGTTTAGGGCTGTTGTACATAGCGTCGCTATGAGTCGCAAACGACGGCACATAACAGCAACAACAATCCAGAATTGGGAAGGGCGTACGCAGGGATGTGTCCTGTCTCCATAAAGGTGCGTTGATACAGGCCATGGTCTTTGCTATCACTTGTTATGCATCAGAGAGTTGGACAATGACTAAGGAGGATAGAAGGAGAATTGATGCCTTTGAGCTGTGGTGTTGAAGAAGAGTATTGAGGGTACCGTGGACTGCTAGAAAAACAAACAGATTCATCCTGGAAAAGGTCAAACTGGGCTGCTCCTTAATGGCAAGGATTCTAAGGCTCCATCTAACATTCTTTGGACATGTTGCAAGGAGGGACCAGTCCTTGGAGAGGGACATCATGCTTGGTAGGGTGGAGGGACAGCGCAGGAGGGGAAGGCCCCCTCTGAGGTGGATTGATTCAGTGACTGGGGTAATTGGGATGGGTGTGTTGGAGACAGTGCAATTGACAGAGTTTAGGGATGTTTTACATAGAGTCGCTATGAGTCGCAAGCGACTCGATGGCACATAACAGCAACAGCAGCAATTCAGAATTAGAAAGCCCTTATGTTTTGTTGCCTGCTTTTTCCCCCCCAAAATTTTATTTATTGTTGAGGATATGCACAGCAAAACATCCCAGTTCAACAGTTTCTACATGTACATTTCAGTGGCATTGACTATATTCTAGTTAAACAACCATCTGCACCCTCTTCTGAGTTTTCCCTCCGTGATTAATATAAATTGCCTCCTACAGGTGCCATATTTCACATTGCTCTTGTCGGTTTGATCATATATATATATATAAATTCTTAAAAGTGTGTAAGGCTCAAGACAGACCTTTTTTTGGTAGTTAAACAGTTTGGTTTTAAAATAATACCAGGGAATTGGTTTTAAGGTTTAAAGATTATCTCATATCAGTAGTTTCAGCACTTCGCCAAGCCTCTATGGCTCCAAAGTCTGCAGTCCATGGTTGTTGTGCACTGTTGAATCACATCAGAGGAAATAGCCCATCTTTCTGAGCAGCTAATGGTTTTGAACCATGTGCCTTATGGTTGACAGCATAACTTCTTACCACTAGACCACCAGAAATCCCCCGAGTTCATACAGATTTGAAATTTGGTACTCTATTTCTCCCCCTTTTGATCAGGATTCTGGATTAAAATGTTCAGTAGTAGTAGGCCCAGACCTTTGAACAAGCGTTCCTCTGGGTTTCCTGCTAATACATTTTTCCTCTTTCAAGTAAAAAAAAAAAATGTTCAGTAATAGTAGTGAGGCACCATCTAGTATTTCTGACCTTATGGTAAAGGAGGCAATTAGCCACACATTCTGCATCCTTCCCCTGTTCCTGACTCTCCTTCCTCTGTTACTCTGTTACTCCAGGTAAATAGATCTCTTAATTGTGGGTTGGATGACTACATGTATATAAGACCCCATTAAAGTACTTAATCTAGCTGCCATCTCGCCCAATTGCCAGTAACGAAAGGGGTCTTGTTATGTGTGTTGTTTTTTTTAAATTCCTGTCCTCAACTCACATTTTTAATTTCCTCTTTGTTTCTTTCTTGGTCTCAGTGAAATTACTGCCAGTGGACTGTGAGAGGAAAACAGATGAGGTGAGTTCGACTTTCTCTCGATTTTTTTTATTCCTTCTGAGTGTGTTTGCCTCCAACAGGAGATAAACTTCTCCAGAAAAAGATCGTAATAGGATCATTTTCAAGGAGTGCTTCCAATAATGCGCCAGAATCACATCGTGTTCTGTGATGTTTATGTCAGCCTCAATTGTGTCTGCGAAGGAGGACTTGAAACATAGAGGATTGAGCTCCCAAGATCCAACCTTGGGCTTGGTAAAGGAGCCCCCCCCCCATCAATCGTAGCATCCAGGACTTTGATCTTCTCCTGAGTCGATCTAGGGGGCTGCAGTAGGTTGTCGAAGGGACTCTCAGGTTCTCTGGCTTTGAGAGGAAGGCTGGCAGTTGTTAACTTTCATTGCCAGGTTCTTGATTCTACTTTCTTTTCAGAGCCTGATAATACATCTTCAGTTGAAAACGCTGTTCTGATTTGAAACATCATAGGGAAGTTGTTTAAAGCCCATCTTAAGTGGAATTAGCCCTCTTTGCCTATGTTTAGGCTTGTTTTATGAAGCACTACTATTCCCTGCAAAAAAGTATTTGGCGAAGGTGAGCAGCCCCATCCATTTATGAGTCATGAAGCAGCATTAGCAGGGAGACGGGATGCTGGATACAAGGTGATCGTCTGGGAAAGATACGAGGCTGTAAATTTTCAGTCATAAATTCTACCCAGAGTTTTGTGCTGCCAGAGGGCATGACTTAGTAGTCTAATTATTAAGTGCACAATGCCAGGCCACCCTGAGCCCGCAGTTTACATTGTTGGCAGCCGAGAGGCTAGGAAAGAAACAGTGCATGGTCATTGTGTGCCCCCTACAGTGGCTTGCATCCCCATGCTATGCAGGGGTGTCTTGATGCAGCCTGCCAGCAGTATTTCTCCTGAGCGTCTGATGTGGCATATTTGCAGAAGCTTCATCTCCTTCATTTATTGCATTCTTCCTCCAGATATCTTATCTTCCCAGTTGTCTTATAAAAGCAGATTCATACCAAGTTTATTCTGCCCTTCATCATAAAAACCCCAGCTAAAAATTAAAAGTGGCCTAGAAGCATAGGCATTCAGAGAAGAGACTAGAATTTTGACAGCCACACACAAAAGGAAGGGGGGGAAAAGTAATTTTTCTGTTAAGACTTCTCAGGCAATGCTAGTTTCATTTGTCTTTGAATTAGCAAAAGGATCCTGATTCTTATTTTCTGACCCTTCATCTCTCACAATGTATCTGACCTCTCTCTGGACAGATTTCCCACCTGGCCCTCTGAGCCATACAACAGATGTCGTGGCCCATTGGAGTTAAGCCAGGTGGGCATGATGTGGGTGTCACTGAAGATGTGCTCATAGATCCAGGCTTTAACAGATGGGCTTTAGGCGTTGGGTAGTGGAGGAGTTTCATGGATGAGTTAACCATTTAGGCCAGTGCCATGGGATGTCCTCAGCTGGGCCGGCTGGTGCAGATGCATTCCTTGGCTTTGGTGAAGTGTTTGCTCAAAGTCTCCTCCTCTCTATGCCTCCAGGCAAACCCAGAACCAAAATTGGCATTGAGTTTGAAGAGCCACTGCAGACGCTGTGTGGCACTTGTTTTTGTTTTTGCCTGGATGAGTGTGCTGTCTGCATTGGGCAAGCTTGTCGTGTGGGACTTTCTGTGTCCCTGTCTCCTTTAGGGGGTGTCAGCCTTGCTTTATCTCAGTGGTGATGCATTTGCAGCAGTGTTCGCTATTACTGCTTTTTTTTCCTGCTTGTGACAGTAATTGGTGTTTATTATGGAAAATTTGAAAAATGTGACAAAGGAAAGAAAAGACCCCCATGATTCTACCACCTAGTGATAGTCACCATTAATGTTGTAGGGACATTTCCCCCCTTTATCTCTCTGCATATGGATGTTGATTGAATAAGGATCGTGGTGTGTTTTTCAGTTAACGCTTTAACATTTATTATCAACATTTCCTGTATCAGTAAGTCTTCTATAAAAAAGAACTTGAGTGCCTGTTACTGCTATTAGACGTGGAGTTATTTCTGGATATTTGTTTTATACTTAGGCATGCAAATCTCTGTCACCTCCAGCAAACCTTGTGAAGATTCTTAGGTCTTTTGGCAACATGAGGGGATAAACCTTTACCTCTGAGAGTGTTAGGAGTCAGACCTCTCCCTTTACAGATGAGGGTGACAAATGAGACCCAGAAGGAAAGGGGATTTGTTCCCTTCTTTACCTGCAGAGCGAGCCCAGCACCCAGGCCCTCAGATTTCAGTTCCAGGTCTTTGTACGGTGACACCAGGGTAGACTCAGCGCTGTGTGGGAGGGATTTACAGTCACTGATTGGACTGTTGAATCCTGCTGCACCACCACTGTGACCTAATCAGGAAGCCCGTCTGATAAATCAGGCTTCAGTAAGGCTTGTTGTGAGGGTTCCATCCTGTATGTATAAACCACACATACAGCATGTACCTGACAAAGCAAATTTGTTCTTTCTTTTTAAGATTTTTTTTTTTATTTTGTGGTTGAGAACATACCTCGCAAAACATACACCGATTTAGCAGTTTCTATATGACATTTAGTGGCACCAGTTATATTCTTGAAGTTGTGTAACCATTCTCACCCTTGTTTTCCAAGTTATTGCTTCCACATTAATACAGATTCACTGCTCCCTAAGGTTCCTACCGGATTTTTTGAGTTGTCAATTTGATCTCGTGCAGATAGTTTTTAAAAGAGCGTTGTGTTTTTTTGTTTTTTTTTCTATTTTCATAAAATTATCTCTTTTTTTTCTATAATTATATTTTATTAATTTTCATAAACATTTACAGAGATTTTGGGCTTCCACTCATTCATTGTTGCACTATTCTCTCTACCCTCCTCCCAGTTTGTTCTTGTCCAAATGCCACAGTGCTTGTCAAAGCCAGTTCTGATTAATCTTCTTTGTCAGTGTATCCTTTGCCATTCCCTGTCACTCCTCCCTGAGAGAGACTTCACCCTGAGTCATAAGGAAAAGGGGACGGCGTATTCTCTTAGCTACTTCCTGCTGAAAAGGGACGCTGTGGGTTTCAGGGTGAAGATCTTCTCTCACTACTCTAAAGGGCCCCTTTGGCAGTAGGAAACACATAGACTATTATGGAGATTGATTTTGGAATTCAGGTGCACTCTTATTGATTGTGCTTGGCTGTACATGTACATATCCTTGAAGTTGTATCATGGGGGTGTTGCAACCTAGAAGACACAAATTTGACTAACAAGTTATAAGTACATGAGTCCAAAAATTATGGAAAAGTAAAAGAAAAGATTCTTTCATTGTTTTACAAACCCTCCCCCAGGTCCCCTCCACCATGCAGCCCTCGCTCTAGTCTCCTGTGATGACAGAAATACCCAGTTACATCTCTCTTTTAGACGGTTCTCTCCCTCCTGTGCTTCAGTGCAGTATACATTATTGAACCCATCTTACTCAGTGTCTCCCTAACCCCAAGGACAGTCCCATTCTACAACAGTGGCATCATGTAATATTTGTCCTTTTGTGACTGGGATATTTCACTCAGCATAATGTTCTCCAGAGTCAACCATTTTGAATAATATTGCATGAGTTCCTTGTTTTTTAATGCAGCATAGTATTCCATTGTGCGAATATACCACAGCTTCTCTAGCCATTCGTTTGTTGATGGGCACTTAGGTTGTTTCCAACTCCTTGCTATTGTGAACAAAGCTGCAGTGAACATGGGTGTGCATATATCTGCTTGGATGTCAGCTATGGTCTCTTCAGGGTATATTCCCAGTAGTGGAATTGCTGGGTCAAATGGTATCTCTATTTGCAACTTTTTGAGAAAGCGCCATACTGCTTTCCACAGGGGTTGCACCATTTTACACTCCCACCAACAGTGAATCAGGGTTCCAGTTTCTCCACAACCTCGCCAGCATTTGTTGCTTGCTGTTCTGTTAAATTTTGCTATTTTGACTGGGGTGAAATGATATCTCATAGTTGTTTTAATTTGCATCTCTCTTAGGGCTAGGGATTTTGAGCATTTCTTCATGTGTTAAAAGAGCGTTTTGTTCAAGGAAGACCTATTTTACTGATTAGCTCAACCGTTGTTTGGTTTGAAGAAGACTCCATGGGACGTTTTTGGTTTAAAGTTTAAAGACTGCCTCGGGCCAATAGTTTTAGGGGTTCATCTACCCTCCAGGGCTCTAGAAAGTCTGGAATCTTGAGAGTATGAAATGCTATTCTTTGCCCTCCTACCTGCCTTTGATGAGAATTCTTCTAAGGAAACTTTGATCACAGTGTTCGGGGATGGTAGGCAGGTACCACCCAGTTCTTTTGGTCTCATGGCAAAGGAGGCCATTTTCATGGCTGCAATTAGCCACACATACCAAAGCTTCCATCTGTTCATGAGTCTCCTTCCTCTGAGAGCAATCTTTCCTTTCATTCTAATGCTAGCATAACGATGCCGTTTCACCTACAGGTGCTGGAGGAGTAGGTGTGCATAGATTCCTTTATTCTCATATGGATGGGTTTTTCTTTAGGATTTCTAGAATTTTCCATCTCTGAGAGAATCCAGCCTAATGTTAAACATTTGCAGCAGATGACCCACAAAGTGGATGATACCCAAGCCATAATAGATACTTACCTCTCCAGAAATAGTCAGGAATGACTGGCCCAAAGGGGAAGTGAGACCTAAGTCATGACATTCTGCTCTGTCCCCTCCATGATCTGAAAGCATTTGCTTTTCCTTCCTGGGAAGCGGCACTCCCTTGTGCACACACGGCCTCTGCTCCACAGCCCCATTTGGCGGCCTGTTGTTCAGGAGAAGCAGAGGCCAGGGGCTGCCAGTAACCAGTGTCTGCCTCAGCTCTGCCTCCGTGACCAAGCAATGTTCCTTTTCAACCCATTCACCCAAAGAATCTCCCTGGGCCCAGTATATGAAGTGTTCCTTGTTTCCTAGTACTTGACAGGGTGAATGGGGATGTAAAATTGACTCACAGCAGATAGACAGACAGACGTCCGTCTCACTGCACCTTTGCTGACTGGCTGCCCTCTCCTTTTCAGTTCTGTCAGGCCAAGCAGAAGGCGGCCTTGCTGGAGCAGCTGCACGAATTGTACAACTTCCTGGCCATCCAAGCTGGTGAGTGAACTGCCTGATACCCAGGACTCCACAGGGGGGCTGAAGGCTGCTGCCCCCTCCTCCGCCTGCCATTCAGGCTGTGGCTGGCTGATAGGCAGCTGAGATGTGCTGGGGTTTTCTCCCCAAAGACATACTCAGACACCACATCTTGCCTTCCCTACACTTTCCTTTCAGACACATCTTTTTTGAGCGTTGCATTTGGTTTAACACATTTAATTCTTGCATCCTCATTAAGAGCCCCAGGGGACTGACATGTGCACCATCTTTCAGCAGATAGTCTTCCTCCCCTGGGATACCCACCACCTCATGTTTTGGGATTCCATATTGGCATTAGAAGGGGCGAAAGGCTGTCTCATGTTTTGGGATTCCATATTGGCATTAGAAGGGGTGAGAGGTCCCCTCAGACCTGAAGTGCCTGCTTAAACCCAGCAGTCCACCGTGTCAGATGGAGAGAGCTGAACAAGGGGCAGGCAGCTGCATGATGGACAGAGCACATTCAGACCTGTCTAGTCTGCCAGAACCCTGGTGTCATGTCACACAGGGGCAGGATTATTGGCCTAAGCACAAGGCAGAGGCGGCACTGTCCATGTGGGAGAGTTGTGCTGGTGTTGCCTGCAGGGCCACATTGCCATCGGCTTCTGGTCCTGATGGTCCCCATATCCTGTGTGAACCCAGACAAGTCCCTGATCCCCTGAGGGCCTCATTCTCCCTGTCCGACAAGTGGAATCCGTGATCTTGGGTCCATTTGTCCCTGCTAAATCAGGCCAAATGCTGTGTTCTAGAGGAGGGCATCCTCAGGCCTTTTCCATAAAATATACCTGATAACAAACCTATTGAGAAAGATCCCCTGTGATTTCACTTAATTGCTGTGTCATTGTGTTTCCCATTTGCCTCTAGGAAGTTGTTAAAGGCACTTGCAACAGGTAAACATCCAAAGATTGGGTCTGTCGCATGGTAGATATAGTTGGCATAAGAACCAGCTAGTTGTCAGTAGTAATCCTGCAGGACTGTCAGCCTGGCCTTAGGTTTCTGGGGTCAGCCCCTGTTTAAGGTTGTCTCTGGGAAGATGCGATCAGATAGACTCTTATTCCTCAGTATTGCTTCTCTGAGCGCCATCTTTACCACCTCCTCCCTCCTGACTTGGTAGATTGCAGATGGTCACAGAGCATCACTGAGTGCTGGGAAGGAGAGGGAGAAAGTCCCACAACTGCTCAGAGCATCGCAAATAGTTCTCTCCCTGCTTGAGATTCAAATTCTGTCCTGAGAGGATGTTTTTAACAACCTTGGCTGCTCTTGAGTGTGGTCCAAGGACCGGCCACATCTGCATTACTTAGGAGTGTACTGGAAATGCAGAATCTTGGATCTGATTCCAAGACTCTTGAGTCAGAAGCTACATTTTAACAAAATCCCCAAGGGATTCTCACACCGGGGCAGTTTGAGAAGCTCTGCTATAAACTGTGGTCCCAGTAGACATTTCCCCTCATCCCACCCTCCGTATGTGGTCCTGGCTAAGGCATTCTAGCAACCTGGCAGGGGCAGTCCTGGGGGTGGGAGGTGTGTGAGCCTTCTCTAGAACACACCTCTCCCTGGGGCGTCAGCTGTGGACGGAACTATACTGACCCTTTGGAGGATGAGCTGGCTCAGCCCAAGGCCCTTTCCACAGGCTGCTTGTGGTCTAAAAGAAGAGATGGGCCCCCACCTCTCTAACCATAGCTGGGTCATACAAATGCTCCTGGAGAGGCCAGCAGGGCCAGACATGAACAGGAAGGCACCATGCTGTTCGTTATTTTCTTTTTCTTCACAATAACTAGCATAAAAAACCCACTGAGTCAGTTCTGACTCATCGAGACCTTATATTTAAATTGAACCAGTAATGTATGCACATAGTCAAGCATTTGAATGTACAAGAATATCATAGAAAGGCAGCTGCCGTTACAGCTCAGACTCTCGTTCCCTTTCCCAGAAGAAACCTTGTATAACATTTCAGAAAAATTCAATATCTATGCAGACTTTAAAAAAAAATACATAGTGTGATTTTACTTAACAAAATAACTGACAGTTTATTTAACCATAAGAAAGATGGCATATCTAATGCATGACTTGCAATATCTAGAGAGTGTTGATTAAAAATCTCTGAGAACAAGGGTCTACGATGCAAAACTCTGTCACAGAGAACACTTTGGTTTTTTCCAATAAGAAATAAAAAAGAATAACTTTCAGAAAAGGCACATTTATTAAACTTTGTTGTCGTTGTTACGTGGCGTCAAGTTGCCTGCATCTCATAGCGACCCTACATAAAATAGATTTGAACCCTGTGCTATCTTGAGCCAGTGCATTGAACTGTGAGATATATAGCTAATAATACTAAGATTGATTCAAGTGTTTATCACTCACGATGTTGGGGAGCTCTCATGACCTTATGAGTAAAGCGTACTGTCAACCTTTGGGCATGTAGTTCAGATCCATCAGCAGCTCCACAGAAGAAAGATGGGCAGTCTCCTCTTGTATGATTTATAGCCTCTGAAAACACTGGAATCATTTCCAATTCCACGGCACGTAACACCAACAACATGTTCTAAGCTTACCAATGCAAATAAGGCTTTAAGAACCTAACCTCATTACTACTGCCATCAAATAGATTCTGCCTGACAGTGACCCTGTAGGACAGAATGTAACTGCCCATGGGGTTTCCGAGGCTGTGAATCTTTATGAAAACAGCCTTCCTCATCATTTTCTGACAGAGTGGCTTGTAGATTTGAAACTCCTGCCTTTCAGTTAACAGCCCAACACTAAATCCTTTATCCTCCAGTTCTAAATATGTGAAACAGTTCTTTGTAGATTATAACAACTATTATCATCATCATCTAGGGAGCTCTGGTGGCTTAGTGGTAAGGAGTTGTGCTGGCAAACCAAAGGAACACAGTTCTAATCCACCAGCTGCTCTGTGGGAGAAAGATGGATAGTCTCCTCCTGTGTGATATACTGCCTCTGAAAATCCACTGGAGGGTCAGCTATGCGTTCTCACTCAGTGGTCCACGCCAGCAACAGCTAACATCTGTATGTATGCTCTTACAACATTATTTGCATTAGTATTACTATAATAATAGTTTAATCCCATTTTTATAGTAGTTCAAGAAATGGAGGCAGAGAGAGTAACTTGAACAGAGTTGCTTGGCTAGGATATTTTGATCTGGAGTATGAACCCGAGTAATCTCTCTACAGAGTCTGTATTATTAACCATGGTTCTTCATTGCCTCTAGCATTTAATGAAGTCACAAGTAATATTTAATGAGATTAAGAGTCAAAACTATTTCAAAAAGCTTATTAAGCACCACACAAATCCAAAACCCAGGAGAACAATTTATATTCAATTTATATTCTCTCAAGGCTTGAAAATAATACTCTGTTCTTTGTGACCATCTAAGCCATGGCCCTGCCCTCCAGACTCTTGAACGTTGGCATGGCTGCTGAAGTCCGGGTAGGAGCCCTCCATCATGGGCTTCAGGCTCCACCTTCCAGACTGACTAGGGCGTCATGCTCCCTTAACCATTGATGTCCCCATTCTCCTGCCTAGTCCATCTGGAAGGCCCTGCTCTTCTGGCTTTCAGGCATGTCAGCCCCATCTCCTTAGCTCTGGGCAGCTGCCCCATTCCCATGGAACACCTTAACAGCAGCCCCTCGTTCTGCATCTGAGTTGCTGAAGCTCTGTCTCTTTGAAGCCCAGTGAGCCATGGATATAGAGGCAGCTCTGTTCTGCTGATCTCTAAGTTGTTTCTGGGATGGTCCTTTTCCTTTCTTGAAGGACAGTGAATGTAACTCTTTAGGCCTATTTCTTGCCTGTAAAATTTCAAGGGGCAGACAGCATTCCCTGTCCCCTAGCTCTTAATTGATAGGTTTTCTGCTGTGGCAGTTGTTAGAACCATCAGTCACAGCTTTGATCTCTTTAACAAAAACTTAATGTAAGACACTTACTTGGTGAAAATTTCAGGGCATGAGTCCTTAGTTTATACAACAGGATTTTCCAGATCTTTAAGTGCTGTTTTCATTTTACTCTCTTAATTTTCAAGTTTGTCTCTTTTTTCTCACATTTTACTGTGAGCAGCAAGGAGAAACCATACAGCTCCTTTAAGTCTTATATCGAAACCACGTCACCCAGATTTGCAAGTTCATCATATAGAAGTTGTCTTTCACCAAACATATGAACATGATTTACGCAAGTTCTTTGCTACTGCATACAAGCATTGCCCTTTCTCCACCATCCAATCACATGATCATTGTTTTCTTTTTCCTTTTTTATTAACATTTGAGTGAAAGTTCACCAAACAAATTGGTTCTACATTCAATCATTTGTATATATCTTGTTTTAGAACATTAATTACAATGCCCACAATGTAATGTAATATCACTACCTCTTATGATCTTCATTCCCATTAATTCTTATTTCCAACCCTTCTCTGTCTTGTGGGTTTTACTCCTGGACAAGCTGAGCTCTTTTGACCTAATATGGCTGATTATTGTAAGGAGTAAGTGCTTTCCTGGTGATACTGTTCTCCTTTGTAGGCCTGTCCACTGTCTGGCTGAAAGTTAAGCCATGGGGGTGAGATCTGTTCCAGGTGCAAAGGTGATTGAGGGCAAAGGTGAGTCTCGGGGTCCTACCAGTTGATATCAGACCAGAAAGCCTGGCTTTTCTTTATATTTTTAAGTTTTGCTCCACATTTTAAACTCACATTATCCAGGATCTTCTACTGTGATTCATCATTTTCTCACCAGAAGTAAGTTTAATGTCCACGTATCTAGCAACATTCTATTGTTGGCACCATATGCATTCTCTAAAATGACTTTCTCTATAGCCCTTCTTACTTCCTTCTGAGCCTCCACCAGAATGGCCTTTTATATCCATAATTATACCAACTATTTCTTTAAGATGATCTGGTGGGGAAATTTTTTTTAAAAAGACGATCTAGGCTTTTACTATTAGGCATCTTAAAATTTGTCCAGTG